TAATGGTTTATGTATACTTTATAGTAAACCTATCAGCATTCTAAATACATATACTAAACATCCTGACTACAAGCAGGCTGTGCAAGGTGCCTGCTATCATTCTTATTAGCTAGAAATCCCTTTTGTGCGTTGCTTTAATCCTGAAACACTATAATGCAGAGGACTTCAGAACGCGGCTCAACCCTGAAGCAAGGTCACACTTACTTGCAGTTCTACTATGTAATGAGAGCACCTCAGTGGCCCATACTGTCATTGAACATTGGGATTTTGCGTGGTTTGGGGTTAGCCATATGGGATAAAATGGGTGTAGCCTCATGTACTCTTCCTAAGACCAATATATTTCTGTGGCCAATTTATTTTAATGATGAGGTCCTAATTACAAAAATGGTTGGCTAAGAGTGACATTGCCAAGCGTCTAGGGAATAAGACTTCAACATGCCTTGCAAAGCATGTCACAATTATTGCAGTGCATTACTTGTTGCACTTAGTGGGTTTTGCTATACAATTGTAAAATTGGCTAACCATTAATTACACTGCTGCTAGCTCCAATTTATAGAGTATCTGTATTTACCAAATGGAAATTGACATAAGAATGTCTGTGCAATCTGCATTAGGTTACACACACATCTTTCTTCTAGAAGTCTCTAAACCTAGGATATTCTAATATGCAGCTTTGGCTGAGAAGACCAGTGCTGGGCCTTTCCAGTACTATGCCTGGTGGCCACTAAACGTAGGCTGAGTATAGACCAGAGCTGGGCCTTGCCAGTACTATGACTGGTGGGCACCAAACGTAAGATGAGTATAGACCAGAGCTTGGTCTTGCCAGTACTATGCCTGGTGGCCACCAAACTTAAGCTGAGTATAGACAGAATTTGTTTAAAAAAAAAATAGTTTCTGAATATTGGTTGGATTTTCTAATAGTTCATGGGGTCAAATCGACATTCAATTTTGATCGTCAGTACTATGCCTGGTGGCTACTAAACTTAGGCTGAGTATTGACCAGAGCTGTGCCTTGCCAGTACTATGCCTGGTGGCCCCCAACCTTAGGCTGAGTATAGACCAGTGCTGGGCCTTGCCAGTACTATGCCTGGTGGGCACCAAACTGAGGCTGAATATAGACCAGAGCTGGGGCTTGCCAGTACTATGCCTGGTGACCACCAAACTTAAGCTGAGTATAGACAGAATTTGTTTTAAAAAAAAATATTAGTTTCTGGAATGTTGGTTGGATTTTCTAATAGTTCATGGGGTCAAATCAACATTCAATTTTGATCATAGTAATGAAAAGGAGCAGGATGAAATTCTAACAGTACATGTGGTTTTCGTTCAGGAAACTATTCATTTGCTAAATCGAATGAGAAAAATCAAACACAATTTGGAATGATATTTGCCAAGTTTCTAATTATCAAATGTTCTAACAAGATTTTTTGTATTAAAGTTCGCACGAAAACCTACCAGTGTACACCCAGCTTTAGTTCTGCACCCATACAATTGGGCACCATGATGAAAGCTTTTGAAAATAATCCTGCTCCCCCCAAAACATAACGCAAAGGAAGTGCCATGTGATCTCTGTCAAATAGAAGCATTCTGTAATTTGTCTTGATGTTACACTTTTTTTTCTCCTCCCCATGAAATACACTGTATGATCACAAATGAAGATTGCAGCCCTGGAAGGTACATCCTTAAAAAACTTGTTCTGGCGTTTACTGAACAGGTTCTAAAGTGGTTAGATTATTGATCCGTGTAAATATGCAGTGACTGCAGTGAAGAAGGAATTCTTCCCTCTCTGAGAACAATTAACAAATGTCATGCTCGTATTTATGGTTTCTGTCTCAGAAAAAGCCAAGGCTTCATACAGATAGATGTTCATACCAAACAGCAGAGAGTCTAATGTAATATTTCACCATACCATAGCAAACCTTCAAAGAAAAAAAAGGGTCCATGATTTAATAATAAAGCTACATGTAGAAGTAATATATTCTTAATCTGCACAGCAAGTCACCCCCAGGTCTGACATAACGTTGCACAAATCACATGTCCGGTGTTATTCAAGTGACAGATATGCTCCTTAGGCTCATAGAGAATCAGGCATCTGCACATACACAAAATGTCACATGCTGTACTATCCCAATATCCTGATGCCCCATGCTGAGTTATTAATATTTATAGCTACAAAGCACTATATTTGTAGTAAACAACTGGCAAGTTCAGACCCTGACAAAATGATTCTGGAAATGTAAATTCCTCTGCAGGGGTTTCTTAAAAGACTTAACCATTCAAGGAACATCATACATGTATGAAAATAGCCCATTTAGATTTTCCATGCTGCTGCATTTAAGGTAATCCTAAAACATAAGCTAGTAAAACCATTCCATTAGATATACTGGACACTGGACTTTATTTAGATTTGCTGCGCCCTAAAAATACATATGGGGAGTACATCCCTACTTAACAGGGCTTCAGTTTTTTTCCAGCATTGCTGTAGTACTAATCCACACCACGCTCTTTTGTAGGTAATTTGGGAACCTCTTTTGTTCACCTATTTATGATGCATTCCCAAACATACCTACCAAAAGTTCTATCACATATGCTCCTTCCATACTGAACATGTAGTAGTAGATGTGGTAAAGTGTTAGATCACAGCCATGAGTCAGATTCTAACCCTGTTATGGAAATTTGAATCAAGTAGAAACAGAACAGGCTTTGAGAAGAAAACCCACCCATGTCACATGTGAGGAGTAGTGATGAGCATGGGCTTGATGCAAACCCAGTTTACCCAAGCACATTCAAAATGGAGTGCTTACCCTTCCCGGGCCAATCAGTTTCTGAGAGGCACATTGCCCTGTTGCTATATATCACAAAGGAGCACAGAATTCTCCTTCTACTCAATTCATTAATTCAATTTATTTCAACTGCCACCACTGATTGGGCTGGGAGGAGGAGGTGGCTGTCACAGTTTTGAATGGGCTTGGGTGAACTCGGATGAACTGGGTCTATACCAAGGTCTATACTCTCTAGTGAGGGGCTTTCTGGATTATAAATACATTTAAAAGTATGGTATTATGAAAGACTTCATGATTTCTGTAAAATGACCATGCTAGTACATATAATTAGCACTTCAATGACAAATTTCACTTGCCTCCTGAAATTGCTATTTGAAATGAGCCTGTGATAAATATTAAAGCAGAAAAGTAAAAACTGTAGTAGATTGTTGTCAGCCCATACTTCTGTTTCTCCTATTTTATAGCTAACAGCCCCCTCCGCATTGTCTTTATTTCTTCATAGTGGACAATAGACATGGGGTCTACGGCCAACTTTTGGAAAGTCAGTAGTTGTATAATTTTTTCAGAGCACACTGGGATGAGAGATAATGACACATCCTACAAACTAATAGGTATTTGCAGACAGCTAATGTTAGTTTACTAGTTTAATACATCCACAACAGGTTAATAAAAAGGCCGCCTGTGCCCTATTTTATTGGAATTACTAAATAGAAGTATTTCACCTCTGCACAAACCACAAATGTAAAATCACAGAGCTCCGATATACATCTGGGCGAGTTTCTAAAAGACATTTATTGAAAGAATGAACTCTAGAGCTTAGAAACAATTCACAACAATGTTCTGCTATCACTGTCTATGGAAGTGAAATCTCCCCTCAGAAGGATACAGACGGCAACAAAACATCTGACCCTTCCCCTCTTTATCCAAAACCAAGTTTAGGCCGGAGTTTCACATAAATATTATTGAAGGTTAAGTTGGAGTTACAATACGCGTTTTCACCCACTCCAAATTCTTGATTCCCCCATCGACACTAAACAGCACCGATGGGGGAATCCCCTGCCCCTTTCTCCGGGCTATCGTATTCTGAAAGGGGCGGGTGTGCCACCGACAGATTAAACATACAGTGACAGCTGATTGGCTGCTGTCGTTGTTCAGCTGATAATTTTCAGCCCAGATAGCAAGCAATTGAGCTGCAAGTTTTCCTTCCTATCTGGGAGACTAGCTCTTCAATTTTTCAATCAACCTTTTCGAAGGAGTGCCGATGGGGCCACACACTGGTCGAATACTGACTCAGCACAAATTCGAGAAGTGCATGGCCAACTTTACAGCAGGGTTAGTTTTGCTTAAATTAGGACCATGGACAAAAGCAAAAGGACATATAAGCTGAGGTCTGTCTTAAGCTGTACAATAATACAAGAGTCCCCCTGTAACATAGTTTAAAAACTATATAATGAAAATATAATATATAAAATCTAGTGATTCTGCTAATAGATCAGATAAACTACTATTTCCTTTAACAGGGGGACAGCACTGTTCGTTCTGCAGTGAAATCGCTTCAGCATTGCCACCATGCACTGTTGCTGTAGCCCCTTGGACTCAAACAGTACGTGATACAAAATGAGTGGGTAGTCAATCAGAATTGTTGCTGCTGATAGCTGGACACCGCTGATAGCTTGCCTCCTCTGTGCCTATCAGCTACAGGTTGTACCCATCTCTTCTGGGAAGCTGTTTCACAGCACACTGCTGAAAATATCTCTTGTGGTTTGCTGACAGGTGTGCCAAACGTAGTATCTGTATATAGCATATACACAACATGGATTACTGCAAAATACTTAGAGTAGAACCTTTTTTTAGTACTTGCCCACAGGTCTGATGGGAAATGTAGTTTAGTGGTGGCTTGCAGGACACTTGAAAATGACATGTAAGTGCAGCTTATTCTCCCCAACCTCTCCTTCTCTATCAAATACTAAAGTGGTGTGCCTTATTATTACACAGACAGCAAACAAATGTGAACTTATAGGTGGACTGTAATACTCATCACCATGGCTGAGAATTGGAGTAGATGTAAAAGGTGTTGGGTACTTGCACCTCCAGCTGGATGTGATTTAATTGGTGAAGAACTCTGGACACTTGGCTCTGATGTGGACACATTTCTAGTATCCATATACTGTGCCTAAAGAAGGTTCTGACCCAAATACACCAATACCCAAGTATACTTACAATCTGGAAGTCATGTACTTCGATGGCTTCATCACTACCAGAACCGGTCTTGAATGTTTCTAGGTTGTTCCCAGAATCTATTTCCATTGATCCTTCCTGTATTTTGCCATTGATGCTCATGGTGTAGTGGACATTGTAAACCTGAATGAGAGATCAAAACAATCATATTTTTAAAGATCAGAATTTAGACTGACAATTCACATATTTGTTTTTAAATACTGTAAACACCTTGGTTTGAGTATGCTGTTCAAGCATGTTCTATAGTGATTGATAACATGCTAGAGGTGCATGTATTTACCATGAATTTTCTGCATTATACAACTTCTGGGATTTTAACTGAACTGTGTATGTAAAGTGCGTTTTACACATGGGACCATCCATCGCTATGAATCAAGATTTTGTTAAAAAACACAGGTTAGAGGTATACCGTTGATCACAGATCTCAAAGTGCACCCTAACCACAAAGGTAGATGAGGTTAAATGTGGATAAACCACAGTAATATTAGTAGAAAGGCAAACTGTACATACGTACATGAATATCTTCTACACCTGTACATATACATTAATATCTCTAATTCATTTTGGTTGGCAACTTTCAATAATAAAGCCACATATTACTAAGGGTTGTAGTGAATGTGGGCAATTTAGATCAGATTCAGGTAAAGTCGGTTCCAATCTAAATACAAACACTACCTTCAATAATGCTTTGAAATCTCATGTACACAAGTTATAGGAATGACCATGTAGAGCCTAATTCCTGCAACTGATTTGAGTATTGCTTAAAACAACTGGACAAACAATGGAGCATGTAGGGCCCCTAGGGACAATACCCAGCTATTCCAACTGTTGGAATGCTTGTTACTTCACATGGATGGAAAACATATTTTACTGGGTGTACGACAACCTGTGTCCAAGACAATAGAAGGTTATGCTGTACCCCTGTGATCTGCTGAACACTGCTAACCTAGTCTATACTATAGACACTTACTTCAACTTCTTCATTTACTGTTGGGACCTAGTCATAGGACATCCCCTGCCCTACCTGTGACATTCACTAGATGGCAGAAAGGAAGATGTAACTGGCACTCCAGTATGCTGATCAATACGCCTTTATTGACACATGCTCAGTATCACATAACACAACGTTTTGGGGCCACGCAGTGTCCCCTTCTTCAGGAAAAACAGTGCCTCTCAGAATACTGGAGTGCAAGTGACCCCTTCCTTTCTGATATTAAGCGGCACCATCCATTCACCACTGTAGCACCCACTTATTCCTAAAGGCACTTACCGGTCACGAGTGCGATGGGACTTGGACATTAATCATTCACTAGATGGCTACACATACAAAGCATGTGCATGTCACTGACTGAATGGGAAAAGTAATTTACTTTTATCTTAATTACCATCTCTTTCATGTATAAATCTCCTTAAAAGTAACAGTATGTTGATGATGTCAAGACTTCCAGTGATTACCGCTTACTCATCCTATGCTACCTAAAATGCATTGTAAATAACATGCAAAAATATACATAGAAAAGAGAGCATTGTCCAAGGAAACTGTATTTAAGCTAAATAAGTGAAAAGGTGTTTGAAAAGACCCTGGGAAGAGGAGAAGACGAACAGAGAAAAAAGGCAATTTATGTAAACCACGATTTGGAGAAAAAAAGAATATTCAGACAGATTGAATTTTAAAATAGTAGAGCCGGGTGAAAAGGTGTTTACTTTGCATCTAATACATAAAAAAGTGTAAGAACTGCTCACCGACTCTATAACTTCTATTTTATTTGGAACATTCCTGCTGTAAGAAATATTTATTCTAAAGAAACATGTCTCTGACTCACTTGTTCTGGCTGAAAAATATGTTTATGAAATCATTACACGAACTGTGTGGGGAATATTGATAATGTAAATGTACCCAGCATTTTCACACTCATAATAACACTGCTGATCAGCAGGTTTATCTATAGGAGAAATCTATAGGTAACAACTAAATACAAGCAACTATGAGTGAAAAGAAACATCTTCAGAAAAGAATCCAGAACTATGAATAATTTCCAGTGTTAGCACGGATTGTTTGCTCCGATTCTCCCCCAGAGTATCATGTTGGAAGATTGACAGTTTATAGTGACCATTACAGATAGTTACTTCGTATTGTTTATGTAATATCAGCTATGCAGATTACACAGCAGTGCATAACTGATCTGACTAAAGTCGGGTATACACGCTTCTATTTTTTTGGTTCCACCTGCCAGCCGAATTAAGAAAATAGAACAGATTCCTCCATCAACACTGACGAACGCTGGCCGCTGTCAGAATACTTGTACAGAGCTACCAGCTCATTGGCTGCTAGCTCTGTTTAGCTGCCAATGCTCCTTCGATCGCTGATTAAGGTATGCAAATCGGAAAGGTGCTGACAGCAGCACCCACACATCAAATTTCATCCGGTTATCCAAAAACCAGCTGAAATTTGAACCATATAGACCCGGCTTAACAGAGGATCTTTATTAGATTAGATTAGTGCATAGACATCATGAATTGCATTAGCATGTACGTCTATACATTGTGCAGACCCTGTTGACACCATCTTTATCTTAATCTATTCCATCCCCTAGAAGAAAAGCCAGGTCCAATAGAGATTTTAGAACAGATGGAAACAACTTTTACTGCCTTCTAGGGGTATCCTAAATGGCCCAATCCTACTGCTGCCCTGAGCTGTTGGATTAGGCTATTTATGGATTGCCTAGGAATGGTTCTAATCTGGCCTTATGAAATAACCATGACTAACATTTGCCAAAAAAGACCTGTATAGGCAGAAGAGATCTATACATTTTTAGATAGAAATGGCAATGTTGCATACTATTGGGTCTATTTATAAACAATTTGCCTTGTGAATATCTGTGAATGTTCGTTTTGGGCAAATAATGCCCAGAATTAATGTTCTTAATACCTTTTTCTCTTCGGTTCAAATGTAATGTGTTGTAAAATTACATTACGGCCACTAGATGGAGCTGAGGAGCATAGGAAATAAATATTAATTCCTCCACTCCATCTAGTGGCCATAATAAGCACCTTAGAGATGTCAGAATCATCTGTTAAGTGTTTATCCCTTTGGGTGTACACTGTGGTGAGAAATTCTGGACACGGACCGATTGCCAACCTGCACTTGGTTACGGCTGGCTGACAGTGGATGCGCCGGCCTCCAAGGCTGGGGCATCCACTGCAATCCACAGCCCAGTGCAGGTTCGAACCTCATTCCTCTTCAGTTGTTGGATGCTAGGACCGCTGGGTTCCTAGCAACAAATGATGTCAGGGATCCTCCTCCTCTGCAGTCATTGGTTGAATAATGTCTTCCCACTGCCAGCATTACAGGAAGATGTCTGTAATGATGGGGTGTCTGTCATCTCCTGCAGCTCCTCGTGGTGTCCCTCCTGCAGCTCCACCCTCCTGGCTCCTGCCTTTGACCTTTCAAGAAAAAAAAATAAAGCAGGTGTGTGCCACATACTAGGGACAATAAGGGCCCGTTCACACATATGCAATGCATTAATTGCATGGTTCCCTGCGATTAACTCATGGTACCACGCAATGCACCTACTGTACGTTAGAGTGCTGAGTTGCACGCACTACTTTTTTCAATCGTACAGTATTGCGGTACTTCGCGTTGCAGCGCAGTAGATCCCATTGTGGCCGGGAGGTGAGTTTGGGGTGCCATTCAATTGAATGGCAATGCAACGCACCTGCAGCACTGTAACCCACAGTACCATGCATTAATCATAAGAGAAACTGGGACTGTTGTCCAAGTTTCTTATGTGGCCCCTTGAGAGAATGAACTTCCCACCCCTGAACTAGATGGACCTTGCTAACTATATAACTATATTATGCTCCATGAGGTCCTTGAATGTGTAAACTGGCAATTTAGCAGACACGTGAATTAGAACTGCGACTGATAAATAGCCCCCTAAGTTTAACAACAACTTGTATGATATTATATGTAATGTCAATGTAGCTCTATGCTGAAATGATAAAATGCACATTAGTTTGGCTGGGTTGCCGGCTGGTCTAGAAATACTGGACTGCATTCATGACATGCTGCTGTTGGAAGTAGTGCTGGGGGAAGTGGCTGGCTGATATACAAGAGCTGATTGAGTCCGACATAAAGGGGCTTTTGTCTGCGAGCAGTCACCACTGACCCCAGCTCAGCCTACAAGACCATAAGCAGCAGAGCCAGTGTAGGCCTTCCCTGTACAACTCCCTTCAAGGCACATCAAGAGTGTTCACATTTTATACGGGACAACACAATCAGCGAAGAAAAAAACAAATCATTCTAAATAGTGTATTTTTCATACGGAAAGGGAAAGTGGCAGCTTTTTACTTGACGCTAATTATTCCTCCAAAGCCAATTATCGTGACAAGTTACACGTCTTTTCCCACTGCAGCTATAATAGTCCGTTTTAATAATTTATGTATTTATATTTCCACCAATTAAGACAGCCATCTGTACTCAGGTTAAATAGTCAGGCAAATTATTATTATCTTATTTATATCTGCTTTTCAAACAATCCAAAAGTAATAAACTCTAATGCATCATCTTGTCTGAGTGAAAAAAACAAAACACATTTCATTTATACAATGAAGCTGGATTAGCCAGAAAACAGTTCAGCATTAAAACTCCATTTTCTGTTACAGAAATCTTTTTATCTCCCCGTCAAGTGTGGATTATGATCTGAGGCTTTGTTGTACTGCGCTATTGGTGAGTGGTATGTCATGTATTCTAGGGCTAGATCCCTTGTTTCAGATGGAAGAGCGTCTTGCTAGTTTATAAATGGATTTTGGGAAGTCAAGTAAATGGGCTCCTTTTACACCAGCAACCTTCTGACCTCCTGATTCTCACATCTGCGCTTCAGGAGAACACACTGGGAGAGGGAAGGACAGATGCCCATTGTTCAGGAATGGTACACAGACATATATAATCACTTACGTGCTTGTCATTAACTTTCCAGAAATAGAAGGCACCGATGGCTCCAAAGAGAAGCAGGAGAGCCCCTGAGATGAGCACCACGGCCCCGATTCGGAGTAGACGGCCATTGTTGGATGGCTTCATTGTCACTGCTGTGTATGCCTAGGAACAGAGAGGACACATCATAAACTAAGAGGCTTCCTAATCTTTAGAATGATCACAGTGTATGTTGTTATCTACAAAACATCTCAGAAATAAGATTAATACAACTTAATATCGGTGCTGGACAGATCCCAGGAGCCAGGTAGCCAATGCTACTTTAGGGCCCATTCACACTGTTGCATTGGCTTAAAGGCACGGTATCCATGGGATAAGTGCATGCTATCACATAACGCTAGGTGCACTGGTGTACTTCATTGCCCTTTATACTGAATGGCACCCAAACACAAGTGTGCGTTGAGCTGAAATGCGTGGAAATAGCTGGAAATGCACCCACTGGGAGGTGCGTTGGACTGCCATTCAGAGTGAATGGCAATGTACCAGTACACCTAGCTTGCGGTGCATTGCATTGTGCGATAGCATGCACTAAACGCATGAAAGCCACGCCTTAAGTGCAACGCAGTGGTGTGAATGGGGCTTTAAAGTTACAGCAGGGGCCTAACATTTGAGGTTTTCTCTAGCTGTTGTCAATGGAACTGGCTCCTAAAAAGAGAGAGAGAGAAAGACTGGCAACTTGAATTCCATATTCAATTGCCCACCTCTGATTAAAGTGGCTCTTTCATTAAAACGTAAACTTCACATGAATCAAAAGTATCAATAAGTAGAACTAAAAAGAAAACATTAATATCTGTTTCCTCATAAGGCCCCTTTCATATGGTCAATGTCCATTATGATCAGAGTAGTACAGAACAGATGACACTCTTGTGACAACCATGTCTGTTAAGTTTTTTCCTCCTTCTAATGAAAAAAAAATAATGAACTTACTCAACCTATGTTAGGTCTGTGGGGCGTTGGATGTAGAGCTGCAGCTAACGATTATTTTCAAAATCGATTAGTTAGCCGATTATTAAGTTCGATTAATCGGTTAATCAGATAAAAAATAAAATACATTTTAAAAAATGGCTCCAGTGATGGACTACTAGTTTGTATTGAGATTGTACTCCATCACAGGAGCAAGCTTGGAGCGGTGGAAGTAAAAAAGAAAAAAAAAGTGTGGTGTGCAATATAGTGAAATGGAAAGTGAAAATTATACAGCAATGAATGCAGAATGGCATCGGCTATAGAGAACTACAAATCACAGCAATAGTACATTATACAGCGCAATGCAGAATACCCCTAGCTATAGAGGAATACAACAAATCCCAGCAATACATTATTGGGGAGGAGGTGCGGCGCGCAGTGTGTGTGGAGCCGTGAACAGGGCCAACCAATCGGAAGCCGATTAATCGATGATTGAAAAAGTTGGCAACTTTTTCAATAATCGATTATAATTGATTATGTCGATTAGTTGCTGCAGCCCTAGTTGGATGTAGGTGGATATGTGTCCGTTTACATCCGATTACCTCCGATCAGTCCCATTCAGGTCCACCATAACGGAATTCTGTTCCTTTTTTGTGGACCTAGATGGACTTAGGTAATTGAATGTAACTGGATGCACATCTGGGGTCTGCTTGATGGAATATACATTGATTGGATAGCTCAGGTAGGTCGTAATATTACATCGTAACGTGTATGTCAAGCTTTAGCAGGATATGTCATTGGTGTCTTAGTTATGGATAGTTTCATCGTCCACTTAGCCTAAATTACTTAATGCAAACAAAACATATAGACAACACATGACTCATCACAGAACCAGACGTGTCAGCATGTAACAGGGAAGGATAGCTGGGACTTGTAGTTCCACTTCATCTAGATATTGGACTACTACAATCCTAATTGTCTAGTAAAGCTTCCACCAGGAGGGAACCTGCGTTAAAGGATTTTGTGCCTTTTTGGCAGTAAGCCTGAACACTTACTTCTGGATTTTCAATTATATGACAATAATCATCCGGCAAAATGGCATGTTTGTCACATTGTGATAATGCAGTTCACATTCTGAACATCAAGACTGCTCGCAGTGCCTGCTCCAATACCAGCGCTATATTAATAACAGCAGTACGTCCGACTAATCTCCACATTTGCAGGTATGCAGGGAAATGATCTAATTAACCTTTTTCGGGAGGTAAACACAAATCAAACACTGGTCCTGCCGCTGTAAACACCTTACAATATCCCGCTTTTTCTCTGCCTGCGTTCCCACCGCTTAATCCCCATCTGTATGTACCTATGGGAGAAGTGAAATTACAGCACAATTAATTGTTCCAGCCATCTAAGTTTACATTCTCTTCCCGCATCATCCAAATCCCCTATAAGCCTACGTTTTATTTCTCTCCCCGCCACTTGCTGTATGTTCTACAACTGTAGAAGCAGATAAGGCAGGGGTGGAGAAATTAATATAGAATTCACCGGGGCAGCCTGTCCAGTCCAATCCAATCCAATAGGCCAGCCTGTCCTATCCTGGAGCCAGTCTGACCAAACCCGGAGCCAGCCTGCCCTATCCAGGAGCCAGCCTGCCCAATCCAGGAGCCAGCCTGCCCTATCCAGGAGCCAGCCTGTCCAGTCCAGGAGCCAGCCTGTCCTATCCAGGAGCCAGCCTGTCCTATCCAGGAGATAGCCTGTCCTATCCAGGAGCCAGTCGGCCCTATCCAAGAGCCAGCCTTTCCTATCCAGGAGCCACACTGCCCTATCCAGGAGCCAGCCTGCCCTGTCCAGGAGCCAGCCTGCCCTGTCCAGGAGCCAGCCTGCCCTATCCAGGAGCCAGCCTGTCCAGTCCAGGAGCCAGCCTTTCCTATCCAGGAGCCAGCCTGCCCTATCCAGGAGCCAGCCTTTCCTATCCAAGAGCCAGCCTGTCCTATCCAGGAGCAAGCCTTTTCTATCCAGGAGCCAGCCTGTCATTTCCAGGAGCCAGCCTGTCCTATCCAGGAGCCAGTCTGTCCTATCCAGAAGCCAGCCTGTCCTATCCAGGAGCCAGCCTTTCCTATCCAGGAGCCAGCTTGTCCTATCCAAGAGCCAGCCGGTCCTATCCAGGAGGCAGTCTGTGCTATCCAGGAGCCTTCCTGTCCAATTCAGGATCCAGCCTGTCCAATTCAGGAACCAGACTGTCCTGTCCAGGACTCAGCTCCATTGAAAACAGCTAGAGAAAACCTCAAAAGTTAGGTGCCAGCTGTAATTTGTAACGGGCACTGGCGACCTGGCTCCTAGGATCTCTGCAGCCCTGAGATAAGGTGCACAACACTGAAACTGCTCGCCTAGCATTTCCAACCAATGTGCAAATCTAGCATGCTGGGACTTGTAGTTCCACACAAATAAAATGCCACAGAGCCCCAGGTACGCTCTGAGCAACGTATTCAGCAATGTATTGAATCAATTTGTGTCCAGTCAGGCAGGGCACTGCACTACATAGTTGGTGGGATATCTAAAACAGATTGCACAATCAGATTGTAACATGTATGTTGAGCTTTGCCAAGATCCGTCACCGGTATCTTAGTTATGGATCGTTTCATCATCCAACCAACACATTTCCAACCAACAAGGAAATCTAGCCTGCTGGGACTTGCAGTTCCACAAGAATGAACTGCCATAGAGCCCCAGGTACGCTTGGTGCAAAATCTACATCGGGAAAGGCAAATGACAACCTGGCATGAATACAGATGGTCATGTTTACCAAATATATTACAACAACATGTGCAGCAAAGAAAAAAAAAGTACAGAATAGCTGGACAACACTATTCTAAATATTTTCTATATATACTACTCAGGAAAGTATATATACACACTTAGACATATATAATACAAAATTATAACATTTATATTAACAATATAATATAAATATTTACACACATGAT